GAGCAAACGAGGAAGAAGCAGAAGGCGTATATCAAGAGGATTCTCCAGTAGAAGATACTACCACTGAAGATGACAATTACGACACTCCTGAGCTGAACGACTTTGGTACGTAGTCAACTTTTCTGTAAGAGGAAATGTGATCATTAAAAGGGTACGAAAGCTGTAATCAGTGAATCAATGTATCAATCGGTTGTAATACGAAGGTTTAAAACCTTAACATTTGCAGAACAAATCAATCAAGAAGCAGCAACAGAAGATCAACAAGCCGATTCTCTCTTAGATAACGATTATTCCGTAGAGAATACTTCCGACACAACTGAAGGGAATGACTCAGGTAAGTAATTTTGATTTCATGGTTCGCTTTTAGAATTACGGCTGTTTCGTCATTGTAAAATCTTATCAGTAAATATTTAAACGAATTCGATTTTATTATAATCAGACTGTCTTCGGTGGTCACTGGTTTTCCTCTTTGTGTCAGTTATCGGTCATTCAATACAGAACATGCATGCCTAAACTGCAGCCAAAGCAAAACCCATTCGATTGAAAGAGAAATGCAGCAGTATTAGTGCATTAAGCTCGGACCAAATCCAGCATTAACTAAACATTCCATACTAAATGTGATCTTTTGAAAATAGTAGAGATGTTGCTAATATATTGTTGAAAAGGAAGTTTACACTTTTTTGTTAACAATAATCTAGTTATCCTGTTACATAGTGAGTAAGTCATCAAGTCGGTCAGTAGCATAATAGACATGGTAAGTCGAAAGACAGTTAAGAATTCAGCTTTCAGTCAGACAATAATAGTTGTTTTTCCAACATACGCTGGTGGGTCAAAATAAATGTACATTTTTTTTTTCTTTCAGTGGAAAATGACTATGAATTGGACGAGGAGCATCAAGAGGACTCCTTAGAAGAAAATGATACCTCTGATGATGTAAACTCCGACATTATGGACGAGAACGACTTCGGTACGCTACTACTTACGCCTCCTTAAAACAAATCCGTGTCCTCATCTCGGTGCACTACCATAACCAGCTAAAGAAAAACCCTTATTTTGAAAGCAATGCATGGAGAAAAAATATACAGTTTTTATTGTCAATAAAACATACATCATGAACTTACTCACTCGTTTCTAAGGGTTGTGACTCAACATTCTCTTCTACAGCAAACGAGGAAGAAGCAGAAGGCGTATATCAAGAGGATTCTCCAATAGAAGACATTGC